GAACCCGAAGGTTCATCACCGAATTAACCAAAGCCCTCCACCGGACCCAGTCTCCTTCAACTCCTATCTCCCATAGATCCCGCCTGAGATTATCCTCCCATCTACGTCTAGGTCTCCCCAGAGGTCTCTTCCCCTCAGGCTTCACCAACCAGATTTGTTTTGCTGCAACACCAGAGACACGTCGGCCGGTGTCGGTATTATTAAAGAGCTTCAAATGGAGTCCGGGTGTGAGTGATGAACCGGGAAGGATCTGCCTGGGTGTAGCTTCTGAGCAAAGCCACTAGAAAATCCAAGCGGAGGGCGTCTTTAACAGACACCTGCAGGCATATTGTGTGCCACAAGGATACGTTTTCTCCTTTGTTTTTTAAGGAATTGAGTCAACTCCGAAAGTTGTTTACGAGTAGTAAGAACGACTGTGTCGAAGGAAGGAGTCCCGATGTTGTTCCCACGTTCTGTCTTGGGGAAGTCGCGGAAACTCAAGGCCACGTCGGGCGCTGCACCGGTTCTGATTCCACGCAGACGTTACAAACACGATACACGAGTATGGGAAGCTAAGGTGGACTGGGTCATAACATTATTAAGTATCAAACATTAGCTTACTAGTTGTTGTGACTCATAATTATTACACGGTGTGATTAAGCTTGACTCTGTGGGCACATGCCCATCCAACTGACGCTGTTGTTTGTAATCATATTGTGTTTTGATTGCGACTTATTCAAATGGACACTGCCCCCCTCCTCTCAATTTATCGATATTTAAGTCTGACGATTGTGTTGGTAATCACACGTTTAAATGATACATCAGAACAGAAGCGTGGCCCTTTCGGAAGGGCACAAAAGAACGAGTATTGTTAATTTATCCTGAAAATATAAAAAATAAGTAATCAGAGTCTCATGAAGACGGATTTAAATATACATTATGTCTTTTGTGGATTTTATTTACATTAAATTCTACGACCTTAAACAAAATGTGTGTTTCACCGATGATTGTGTCGGTGCAAAGGGCAACGGAGGACTGAAATGTGCTGACACGGAGTCGAATCAGGGTGAGTTCCCCTTACCTGGGGCAGCAATATTATTCAAAATAACTCGACCCTAACGGCGCTTATGATAACCTACTATCTTTTGAGATGTTATTCACGGGGGGGCTATGGTCCTGTCTGTCCGGATTTTGAACTTGATTTGTGACGGACGGAACCTTGGCACACCGCATGTCATATCCTGAGGTCCAAGTGGTCGAGACTACAGGGAAGATACGTGTCTTAAGTCAGGAAAAATCTTTGTTGAGCCACTCACAATCAGCCACGGTTTGAAAATCGGTCTGCACACCCTGAGGAAAGTTCCTTTTCTTCGAAGACGTCCATGTTCGATAAATCAGTTAACCATATTCACCTGTAATTTAGCTACTCGATCTGTCCAAATTACTAGCATCTAATGTAACATATTGTAGATGCGTCATATTGTGATTTATAAGTATTAAAAATATAACCAGCCACGATCCGATACACTATAACTCCAATCTCTCCTAATACTGCTGCGATATTACTTCTTGGTCCAATAAACACAACATTGACATCACTACGAAATACAATCATATTAGTGACAGGCGACACAACAACGGATGAAGATACAATATGAAGGACGAGAACATGATAAGAAAAATGAAAACTGAAAATCATTAAAAATCAGTAAAAATCAGTAATTCAGTTAAAACGTTTATAATATAACACCTGATGACGGCTATATATAGCCGAAACATGTCGTAAATGTTCCACATGTAAATCGAGTACTCGATAAGGAACGTAAAATGATATTTTAATCTTTTAATTATCTTATATTGTGATTGACGGCCAATTTTAATATATTTTTAATATCTAATGTAACGCTGTTTATGGGGAGAAGCCCTTATTCAAAGACTTCGTAAAATATAACTCAGATTCTGTCCCCCCCTCGAACTCCACACTTTACAGTTAACACCTGTTTGACTGCGTCCGGATTGCCTTGAGAAAGGCGAATTCTAAAACCTAACCGGGCCCCGTTCTCCGCACATTCCATTAGTTACTGTTCTGCGTTGTTTTGTGCGGTGATTACTGATATTAAATCATTTATTATGACTATTATGGTTATGATAGTAAAAGCAGCACCGGTATACGCGTTGCTGTATAGTAGAAATCGCCTGAATCATTTAAATTCAATCTGACCACAGTCCAAATTTCCGAACTCAAGAGTAAGTTGAAAATATACAAATCATTTACGCTGGGTATTATTGGCAACGGAGATGAAACACCAATGAATCATTTAAATTCAATCTGACCACAGTCCAAATTTCCGAACTCAAGAGTAAGTTGAAAATATACAAATCATTTACGCTGGGTATTATTGGCAACGGAGATGAAACACCAATGAGAGACCAGCTTTTCAGGCAACGACAGCCTTTCTCCGAAAAGAGAGACGACAGTACCTTGGCAAATGAGATCTAGGGGCCAAGCGACTCCATGGAGCAGAGAAGCTGGCGTTCAGCTGATCTTTAAGTGTCCTGTTGCTTACGTAATTCACATAAATCTGTCCTGAACCACTTGAATAAAGTAAATCCAACCCACACCACAACAAGATTAATTTTATCACCAAATTTCCATCTTCATATTTTTTCTCTAAAAGGCTTTAGCATTCCTTGAACTAGCTCCCAGGAAAATAGTCTTTCACGAAATCAAAATTCTGTTTGTGAGAAAGGAGCGATGCTCGCATGCAAAAGGACTGCATTGAAGGGGACAGATTAAATGATATTGGTGGAGCTAATGATTTATTGTCAGTAAAGCCATTCACCTGCCAGATAAGGGCTCATCCATAAATGTCAGTCGCACTATAGGCAAGGCGGAACGAGAGAGCCTTCAGCTGACTGACACTGGACACTAATGGGCTCACTACGACTCCCTCGTACCAGGACACGAAATAATAAATTCTTCATCCCGACGAATTACATAACAGAAGCCCCGCGCAGTTATCCTTTCATGCAGACGAAATAAAGTGAAACTGCTCCTGAGGACACTCCACCTGCACAGGCACTGCGTATCGCCGAATTTTAACATTCTAAAAGGCGTGATGGAAGTGATGGAGGAATATGACACATTTTATCCATAGTTGTTCTGCCAGGGGTAACTCCACACGTAGACAAAAAAAAATTCAGTGTGGATTTCGAGGTAACAGATCAGTTATTATTACGCGTTCGTCAGATACCGGGAGAGCAGGAAAATACAGGGACCTGTTACTCATTTCGGAGAGACGTTTTGTGCATCCACACTAAAATCTATTTTTCTTTAAAACTGTACGGACCCGTTTTTTTTAAATAGAACCAGACGTAAAACTGGGGTAGATTTGAATAAAAATTTTCTTGGATATTATCCATCGTCTAGTAAATATAAAACGTAAAAAACGACGTTTCGGAGATGGGACTCTATCTCCGTCTTCAGGTTCCTACACAGTTGGGCCCACTAGATAGAGCTAATCCCTATCTCCGGACCTTGAATAAAAATTTTCTTGGATATTATCCATCGTCTAGTAAATATAAAACGTAAAACGACGTTTCGGAGATGGGACTCTATCTCCGTCTTCAGGTTCCTACATTTACAGTCGGTCACTTTACCGACTGAGCTACATACATTTAACACGTGTTAACAAAATACCAGCCACACGAACAAAGGCGATGTGACCAGTCCTTACAATCCAGGAAAGCGACCACATAGTTCGCGTAAGAATTAACCAATCTCAGGAAAATCAGTACTTACTTGTTGCTGTGTAGTCCGGAGATGATCCTCGTTCACCAAGGAAACCCGAAACTCTGACACTTCAATCCAGACCATAACTCATTTATCTGAAAACGAAAAATAGGTGATTATTGCTTTACAAATTACATTCCGTGTTGCCTGCATTTCAGGGAAACTGTCACATATTTACGTATTTTTTTTTTATAAAAATCAGTAACCCTTATCTGAGAACTTCCGGAGAACTGTTTCTGCTCCGTGAACTGTGGGACATTTACCAGAGTTTTGTGCTCTGGTAATTATGTATAAAGTTCCGTTATTCACATGTCACTGCAGCCGAAATGCGTAGGTACGTGACGTACCAAAGAACGCCGAAATGTCGGCATGTCAGGGCATAGGCGTCGTAGCAAGGAAATGTGCACTCGAGTACGAGTTGCGGTTTTTTAAACATCTCCCTCAAGAAATCAAGACAACTTGCCTGTCAGCTCACATGCCCGTCATACGTTCCTGTGGGGAGGAGTTCAGTAGAGGCCTCTGAATGGAAGATCCTTTGAACAGTTCGTAACACGAAAATGTCAATGCGCCTGAACGAGTAGCAGCTAGCATCCATCCCTTCAGCGCCATTAAAATCCATTACCATCCACATCTGAGACGTTTTGCCAGTTAAAAGAGTTCTGCTCGCATATTATATTATTATTTATTTATATAATAAATAAGACGTCAGTTCCAACGTTTTGTAATTAAGTTTGAGAGTCCACTGTTATTAGCTCCGGAGAACAAACGGGAATGAACTGACACGCGGGTAAACATTCATATTTGCGTTGGTTCAGTTATCCACCCATGAAGAGCGATTACACAGGTAACTGCCCATAATTACGGGGCGTCCGAGCGGGTGCCCTCTACAAGAGGAAGTCCACATCGGATGCGAGACGCTTTATGTTTTAATCAGTAAACAGCGCGTTCCGTGTTAATGTACGTTCCATTCTGAGCACGTTGAGCGTAAGTGCCAATTGAAAACTCCGTCGTGTTTTATTTCAGACTGCAACTGCGGTCCTCGATCGTAGGAATCCGCGGTGTCACGCTCCGTGACGTCATCAGGTGCCCTCGTCCTTCATTCTGATGATCCCATAATCGAAACAAGAAATCTGTAAGTTGTACGCGATCATTATGCGGGACGAGTTATTGTACTTAATTCTGAGCATTCAGAAACCGTTTCGACTGCTTAAAATTATTCCTTCCTTCTGATTTGTTCCTTACTCGTCTACAGTTCTTTTACGTCGGTGGCAACGATATTAAGGCTGAAGACGATCTGTCAGGACAGAAACACGACGACCATAATGAATTCGTATAAAAGGTGGTTACATACGAAAAGAAAACGCTATTTCAGGGAGGGTGCAGAGCTACTCATAAATGATAGATAGGAGTTGTTAGCATCCGACTCAGCTCCCAGACTAAAGGACCACCCCTTGTTGCATGTCCGTCGACTGCTTATTCACGGCTACCGTTCACACATCTGAAAGCCGCCTCCATCCGCAACCTGAGGACGCGCTCAACGTGGACGTTCGTATGATATCACGGCGAGAATATTCTTTAGGCGAGTTCCACGCCACTGCTAGCGACATCACGGAACAAGGGGTGCGAGGAGCCCCGAACCAAGCCCTCTGAGTATATACGTAGTATATATAGGCACACACTTCGCTGTCTATTCTGATGTCATACGCACTCATCCACAAGCTATGACCATTCAGTATTTCTTCAGTCACATAAATTATTCCGCTGTAGACGAGACTATCTTCTACAATTTCTTTTACTCTACAATCCTACGGATTGGTCGCCACCCCATGACGGGGTTAGTCTTAAGCCACCGGACTGGGGACAAACATCCATGCCTTGAGTGGGATTCAGGCGCACGAGGTCCATGCCTCAGACCGCGTGGCCACTGCGGCCGGTCCCTTTTACGATAAAGGTGATAATTTGTTTGTGAAGGAATTTTATCAAAGCAGGTGCACATTGCCACCCCAGGGTAAGTTCGCGAAGGGTGAGGGGGTGGGGGGGGGATCATGCTGTACTGACAGTCAAACGGAACTGCACGACGCACTTTATAAAAGGAGCGCGTCCACTGTTAATTTCCTGTTTTTCCATTTCCGGTACAAAGGTCTTATTTCGGTCAGTACATCCTCCAATATTTCGCTATTTTCTGTTCGGACAGGCGGACTTCACTTTTTCAAAAGAAACTCCAGATTCGTGTAGTTTAGTCCTTCAATATTTACTAAAGTAAACGTAAGGGCCAATGAATGTTTTTTAATATGTACCAGTAAGAGAAATGCATCGTGTATCAGACATCTCAGTTAGCGATTTTGAATTTCGTCACGTAAAAAAGATGAACTGAACAAGAGATTAGAGAAAATTACGTAGATCGTAGGATAATATTAAAACGGGTAAAATAGTATGGAAGTTGGTGTTGATTGGGGATTGGATTCACCCGGCTAAGGATGGAAACCCCTAACATGACCTTTTGAACCAAGTAATTGCTTGTTCGATTAAAAGCTGGAAATTCTCTTAAATAGCTTTGTCGCACGGAATTGGTTCCAAGTATTTATCAGCAGTAACTGAATTACGATTTGTCCATAAACGTTCAGTAAAACGTTTTTCTGTAGACTCATCTCATTCTTCCGCGACTGATGTGTCAGAATTTTAATGGATGCTCAGTGCAGTCATTTTTGTTGGGACACGAAGGGAAGAGATGTGGACACTTCGCAGCAAACAGTGACACACCGGAATGACACTAAATAAGCATATAAATGCTATGATGACAGTGACGACTTCCAGTTAAGTTCGTTCTCTCCGGTCCACAACTAGGCGACGGACTATAATTTAATCTACTGTAAGAAGTTCAGAGCACCGGGTACTGGTTGGGAAACCTGAAGGGAAGAGACCGCTGGGGAGACCTAGACGTAGATGGGAGGATAATCTCAGGCGGGATCTATGGGAGATAGGAGTTGAAAGAAACTGGATTTTTTTGGCCCAGGACAGGGTCCGGTGGAGGGCTTTGGTTAATTCGGTGATGAACCTTCGGGTTCAGTAAGCCATCTGGTTGGTTGGGTCCACTATTTGGGAAGCCTGAGGGGAAGAGACCGCTGGGGAGACCTAGACGTAGATGGGAGGATAATCTCAGGCGGGATCTATGGGAGATAGGAGTTGAAGGAGACTGGATTTTGTTGGCCCAGGACAGGGCTTTGGTTAATTCGGTGATGAACCTTCGGGTTCCCTAACCCATCTAGTTAGTTACTTAGGCAGTTTCTTGGCCATCGTTCAGATTGAGATCCGTATCGATTTAACATTATCAGCAATTCTTCCGGCCTGCTAACACAATTTCTTCATCGTCAGAGGTAAATGTAAATGGATAATCATTTTATATTTCGCGCGAATGTGATAGCCATATTTCACATAATGACGGCGTACGTACGGAAGATACGAGAAATTCGCACAGAATTTTACTTGGAAAACGTGAAAGGAGAGACCAATTACGAGGCACATGCGTGGATATGTGTAATAATATTAAAACGGATATATTAAAAGACCTACATTTTGAGTGGGAAAAGGAGATTTGTCTCCCGAAGTGGAAGGGGCGGGGTTTCGTGATCAACTGGAACCTCCGGGCCTGACTATATGAACAACTGGCAGCTTCTCAACAAGATCTTTGCTCCGTGGACCAACAGGGCTGCACCTCCTGTTTACAAAGGTGGTGTGGTTATTTATCGACGCTCTCAGCAGCTCAGATTACGTCGAATTGGTGAATAATGAACTGGAAAAGATATTGAAGCGGTCGTGGCCTGACTTATGGTTCTGTGCCACAATATTGTGTGTGGAGGATGATAGAAAAACTTTCTTGAAACAGCTCAGATCTGAATTTCAGCCGAGGGTCCTCGTTTCGTCCCCGCTCGCTAAAACACGGGGTCCTCTAATCCACGAACTGGCAATGTTAAAAAAAAACTCCCTGCGAGTTTCCTTTATAGTCTCTTGAATGTTTTGTGGCGCCATATTCGAATTTTCAGACGCATCCGAAATTAATTATTTAATGGTTTGTTGTCTGGATATTTTTAAAAAAAAACACTATTTAATAGACGTGTATTGAATCAGACAGCTTATTTGTAAGCTGTGCCTTCTATTCGAAGTAAATATTACAGGTCCAGCTTCCTTGTAGGAACGGTACAAAAATATATGAGGGTCCCGTCCAGTGACACAGAATGGCGCATCTCAGAAGGACACGGCCCTACATAATTTGAAATTCCCGTTAAATTTCAATGGTTACACAATGAAATTTCCCTTCAGCAAGTGAAGCCTGTAAGAATGAAGTTTTTGAAGCAGATTATATTGGCAGGTCTCATTTCAAAGAGGCTTATATTCTGTTAATGTTGTAAGTCGCTCTTCTCGCTCAGACAGGGCGAAGTCTGTTATTTCCTCTGAATTGTTTTGGACTTTGAATCCTCGTTCATTGAGCGCTATTTTCAGCTTTGATTCACTTTCAAACTGCTGTACCTAAGCTGGCTCAGGCATTCATACTTCCATTTTGAAAGATTCACGCAAAAGAAATAAAAATAATCTTTTCCCCCCCTATAAAACATTAAGCACGCGTAAAATAAGGATTTTGAACATTACTTCTGTTAGCATGAAATACGGCATGAGATCCAGAACTGAAGGGCGTTTGGTACGCGCTCCTAAAATATACCATTAGCAACTTGTCTCATTTGATTTCCTAATGCTTCGCGACCAGGATGTGTTTACAGGAACACTACGGCTTCATTTGGAAGTAACACACGACTCACATGTTTACTGCATGGAATATATATGCACGCATGTGCCTGTGTATTGTTTATAATTAAATTGCGATCAAACGAATTTCTGAAAAGGAAATACTGACCAGTGAAATACGAGGTGCGATCGGAAAGTTTCAAGACTGCGCCTATAAAAACCCGTACACTTATCTCAGGTATTAAATTCATCCATCACCCTCGAAGTAGTTCCCCTGGGAGTGAACACAACGATCCCAGCGCCGCTGCCAAGCCTGGAAGCATCCCTGGAAATCTTTCTTTGTCAGCCTGTCAAGCAC